ACATGTTTCATTTTTGAGTGTAAGACAGGGTTTTTAGCTACGTGAATGGCAGGTTCATTGTCTATCCATAATTTAACTTCGTTTACATCTATTTTCATGTGATTCAACATATTTTTTATCCAAATTAATTCCCTGCTTGTGTTGCTAGCAGAAATGTATTCTGCATCAGTAGATGATAGACAAACTGCGCTTGTAATTTTCTTGGAAGACCATGTAACCACTCCACCAGCAAGTTTTATAATAAACCCACCAGTTGCATGTTTCAAATCATTCTTATTTCCATGAGATGCATCTGAGAATCCTTCAAGATATTTATTGGATCTTGTATTATAAGACAATCCTAGTTTTTTGGTTTTATATAAATATTGCATAACTCTGTAAGCACCTTTTAAATGCACCTCTCTAGGATCTTTGAGGAACCGTGATAGTAGTTGAACAGAGTGAGCTACATCAGGCCGTCCAACGTTGCTAACAAATAGCAACTGGCCTACAATACTTTGGTATTCAGTGATATTGGCAATTGCTGGAGATTCTGTGTCAAAGTAATTGGCTGTGTTAGATAATGGAAATTCCACATTTTTATTTAAGTCTATTTGACAGCTCTGAGCAGCTTTGGTAATATAGTCCTCCATTGAGATGGTTATATTGTTCAGGTTATCTTGGTAAACATTCATTCCCAAAAATTTAGAAACAGGGCCAAGATCTTTCATGGAATAAGCTTCGTTTAACCCTGCTTTCACAGAGTTCATAATATCTTTATTTGGAGCAGCAATTAAAAGGTCATCAACGTAAAGTGCAATCAATACTTTAAAGTTGTCTACATTTTTAAAATAAATACCATATTCTCCATCATGACGAGTAAATCCTCTCCTAGATAATGTTTTATGAATATGCGTGTTCCATAGTAGTGGGGCTTGCTTTAATCCGTACATACCCCCGTAAAGCTGCCACACGTGATTGGGATGCACAGGATCAACAAAACCTGGAGGTTGACGAACGTAAACCGGCTCTTCCATTTTGGAATTTAAGAAGGCAGTGTCTACATCCATTTGGTGAACACGGAGATTAAGGAGAGCAGAGATAGCAAGAAAGATACGGACAGAATCATACCGCACCACAGGAGCAAAGGTTTCTTGATAGTCGATGCCAGCTTTTTGAGTGTGTCCTTGAGCCACTAAACGAGCTTTAAACCGATTTCCGTCCTTAATGTTAAACACCCAACGAGACCCCAAGGCACGACGACCAGGAGGGAGAGGAGTCAACCTATATGTATCATGATCTTTAAAAGCTTGAAGTTCTTTCAGACAGGCTTGATACCATTTATCTTTATCTGATGAACTCATTGCCTGGTTGAATGTATTTGGGACAGAAGTAGTGGTAGACGTAAAGGACATGCCATGTACCAACGCAGTCAAGGCTATGTGATGTGAAGAGTTATCATCAGAGCCAGATGATTGAGAAGAAGGGAATACCGGTGTTCTAATGAGTTGGGTGAGACCATCCATGGAGTTCATAGGAACAAAACTGCCGGAGTCAATATTAACAGCCTCAACAGCAGGGGTACCAATTTTACCAGGACTAATTGGATTAGAATCCCACTTTGGATGGTGTTTCTCAATTTGATGATTTAAGTAGAATTCAGAAGCAGGAATAGGACCTAACTTGTTATGATTAACAATTGAGGATGTTTGGCCATTCAACTTGCTAACATGTGTGGTGATAGGGGCGGAAATATTGTCAGCTAATTCAATTTTACTATTTTTTAATGGTTTATGGGGATCTAAGTCTTCTAAGTTATAAACCGGTGAATTATCAGTTGATAAGGATTTGGATTGTAGATTAGGAGAAGATGTGTCGGAGTGGGTATCATCAATGGTAGATGTTAATTGTTGAGTAGTTACTGGAACAGCTGTTGGAGTAGTTGAAGAGTCAGTATCAGAGGATGAAGCAATTGATGATAGTTCTTCTGCTTCCTTCTTGTTTATTTGATTAGAATTATGTGAGGAGAATGAGGCGGTTGACTCATTGTTTATAGAGGATGAATCAAGGTTGTTGAAAGTAAAATTTTCACAGTCAGAAGTCGTAGAAATAGGAGAAGAAGAGAAGGAAGTAGATGGTAGTTCATATTCATCAGGGGAAGAAGAGTCATATTCGTGCTTATCATTGTCAGATGAATCAACTCTGGACATAAAAGAATCAGAATCAACAGATGATAGATACGGAGTGGAGTATCGACTAGTACCTTGATCTAGAACCTCATCACCATGTATGGTGGTTAATTCATTTTCTAAGTTGTTTTCATATATAGGATAATCAGTAGTTTCAGGATAATAATTTGACGTTTGTATTTCAGAAGATGAAGTTTTGAAAACATCCGTAGATGAAGGATAAACTGGGACACCACCTAAAGTACCAGTGGCAAATGTATGAGCCACTTCAACTTCTTTGGTACCTGCAAGTGGGAAATCAAGTTCATCAAAGCGAACTTGGTTTGATACAAAAATTTTCTTAGAAGGAGGATGATAGAGACGGTATGCTTTGTGTTTGGAGTCATATCCAACAAACACACATTTTACACTAGTAGGAGCAAATTTCCCGTCACGTAATTGATGAGGTAATGTAGCATATGCAGCACATCCAAATATACGTAGATGTGATAAATCTAGATTTTCTGTTTGAATATTGTTCCAGAGACAGTAAGGGATAGAATAATTTTTATTAGATACTGGTAACCTATTTAAGAGATATACAGCAGTACTTACAGCCTCTGTCCACATAGAAGGAGGTACCTTGCCTCCGATTAAAAGGCATCTTGTTTTTTCTTCAATCGAGCGATGAGATCTCTCAACTGCTCCATTTTGAAAACTATTGTATGGAACAGTTAATTGATGGGAAATTCCATTGCTTTTACAGAAATTATGAAATTTACTAGACATAAATTCACGTCCATTATCTGTGCGAATGGCACCCACCTTAAATCCCCCTCTTGACTTGAAATGATTCTCAGTTTCTAAGATCCATTCAATCAGCTTATCACATGCAGCTGATTTCGATGCTAAATGAATTACGGAATAATATCTTGAGTAGGCATCCCGGATAGTCAAAAAATATTTACTATCAGAAAAATTAGTATACCTAAATTGACCACAAATGTCAACTTGTAGCAGCTGTAAAGGGCTCGTATATTGTGTGTCAGAAATTTTTCCTTTTTTCATAACCCCTTTTGAAAGGGAACAAGTGGGACACAACGAGTGTTTATCAGCTTCCATAATGGGCAAGTCAATTCGATTTGCCAATCGATTATAATTAGCTAAACCTGGATGTCCTACTCTAGCATGCCATTTAATGGCATCTGGAATATTTGCCTTTGGAGATGGCAAAACAGAATGGTCATACGAAATAAAAGCATAATCAAGTGGTTTGTTCATCGTTTTTGTTTCTTTATTGTTGGGCATAAAAACATAAAGTTGATTTCTCATTTCACCAACTTGAGTAATTTTATTATTTTTAATTGTATATACCTTTGTTTTGTCAAATATAAATTTCATGTTTGATTTAGAAGAAGCCATTTTGACAGAAATCAAGTTTACGTTGCCATCAGGAACATATGCCACATTGTATAATGTGACATGTCCTAGTTGTACTGTACCAATACCTTTAATAGCAGTTTTACCTCCAATGCCTTCGATAACCCCAAACTCATTCTCATCTCCTTCAACTAACTCGCAAAACATTGAACGGTCGTGAGATATGTGCTGGGTACAACCAGTATCAAAATACCAATCGTTTCTCGATGTTGTATTTTGTTTGCTAATCAACGCAATCCAAGCCGTATGAGAATTATTAATCTTGTAATCTTTTTCATGATTTTTATTTCTTTTGTTCTTTAACCATTCTTGAAATTCTGGACACTCATTAGTTTTATGTTGTCCCCCGCATCTCTTACAATTGAAGTTTTTAACTTTTTGCTTGAATTGATTTCTTCTTCCAACAAAACTGGAGTTAGTTACTCCTCTTTTAGCATTACTAATTACATCATACACTTCTCTCAATTTAATTTCCTGATTCTTACCGAATATATCCATAAATCTTTGGTAAGACTCATCATATAAACTCATCAAAAATAATGAAGCAGCTCTTTCACGAGCTTTAATCTTGATGACTCTTAAAGCCTCTTGTTGCGCAGAAGTTAATGAATTTAAAAAATTTTCTTCACTAGATGTGGTTTCAAAAATGACCTCCACTAAACGATTAACAAGATCATACTGGTCGTCTAATGTTAAATTCCTAGCTTTAGCTAACTGAAAGAAAGGTTCTGCAGCTACATCAATAGATTCTGTACCAAAACACTCAGTTAAGTGATTTAGAAGACCTTTTCCAGTTGGGATACCGTAATCACCAGCAACATATCTATCTGCTTCTTTTTTAGCAGATCCTTCGACATTATTAACAATTAATAATTTTAATGCCGTTTCAAATAATTTTTTAATATAAGCAATCATATCATTAGATGGATTATATTGTTCAATAATAACATTTAGCTTTCCATTTTGTGCATATTGATACCAGTGTAAATTGATATCAGACATATGCATAGCTAAGATGTTTATCCATTTTTTAAAGTTCTTTTTCCCGTCCAATTTAATTGGAATACAACCTGCAGCTGTAGCTACAGGGCTCATAACCTGTTGACGCAAGGCTTCAGAATCAAAAATTCTAGTCGAGTTCATTTTAAACTAATATAATAAGATAATGTAACTTACAATAGGATATTGGTGGTATTATAAGTTCTATTATTATTTATAGTAGGAAGTTAGTGGTACTATAAATTGTTATTTTATTGCTTAGTCCTTTTCTTTCTATATAAGTAATATACAAGATACAATATTATACAGTATACTCATTTTATCTTTGAATCTTCTTTACTATAAATTTTCATAACTTTTAATCACTTAGTACGATGAATTTAGATTATCAAACATAGCTCTAATAATTATATTTCAACAAGTATTATTCATAGCAGAACCATTACTGCTGCTAGAGGTAGATTTCTTAGAAGTGGAGGTTGATCTGTCAGTAGTATTCATAACAGAACCATTACTGTTGCTAGAGGTAGATTTGCTGGAAGTGGTAGTTGATCTGTCAGTAGCATCCATAGTAGAACCATGACTGTTGCTTGGAGTAGATTTTTCAGAAGTGATGGTTGATCTGTTAGTAGCATCCATAGTAGAAGCATGACTGTTTGAAGTAGATTTGTTAGAAGTAGTGGTTGATCTGTCAGTGGCATCAATAGTAGAACTATGACTGATTGAGGTAGATTTTTTAGAAGTGATGATTGATCTGTCAGTGGCATCTATATTAGAACCATGACTGATTGAGGTAGATTTGTTAGAAGTGGTAGTTGATCTGTCAGTATTATTCATAGCAGAACCATTACTGCTGCTAGAGGTAGATTTCTTAGAAGTGGAGGTTGATCTGTCAGTAGTATTCATAACAGAACCATTACTGCTGCTAGAGGTAGATTTGCTGGAAGTGGTAGTTGATCTGTCAGTAGCATCCATAGTAGAACCATGACTGTTGCTTGGAGTAGATTTTTCAGAAGTGATGGTTGATCTGTCAGTAGCATCAATAGCAGAACCATGACTGATTGAGGTAGATTTGTTAGAAGTGGTGGTCAATCTGTCAGTAGCATCAATAGCAGAACCATGACTGATTGAGGCAGAGTTTTTAGAAGTGATGATTGATCTGTCCGTAGCATCTATAGTAGAACTATGACTGATTGAGACAGATTTCTTAGAAGTGGAGGTTGATCTGTCAGTGGCATCTATAGCAGAACCATGACTGATTGAGGTAGATTTTTTAGAAATGGTGGTTGGTCTGTCAGTAGTATTCATAGCAGAACCATGACTGTTACTTGGAGTAGATTTTTCAGAAGTGGAGGTTGATCTGTCAGTAGCATCAATAGTAGAACCATTACTGTTTGAAGTAGATTTCTTAGAAATGATGATTGGTCTGTGAGTAGCATCCATAGCAGAACTATGACTGATTGAGATAGATTTCTTAGAAATGACAGTTGATCTGTCAGTGGTATTCATAGCAGAAGCATGACTGTTGCTTGAGATAGATTTCTCAGAAGTGATGGTTGATCTGCTAGTAGCATCAACAGCAGAACCATTACTGTTGCTTGGGGTAGTTGTTGTTGCAGTGGTAGTTAAACTGTCAGTGGCACTTAAATAAGTAAACTGGGCTGTTGATGGAAAGAAGTCTGACCAATCTCCAAAAGGTATTGTGTAAACAGGGTTAGGATTTGATGTCGGAGTTATAGTAATTGGAGCTATAGTATGTGTTTTTTGATATAGAGACATAGATGTCCAATTTATGGGGGCGGTTACCGAATGAAGTGTTGACCAATGAAGACTTTTATAAGCTGGTTTCAGAGGCATAACATTTTCAGGGAATTGACCAAACATATTACCAGCAGGTAAGTACTGACACACAACAAAGTATTGATTGGGCGAACCGTCAAAAGCGGGCCAAAATAAATTTGCAGCACAACCAACCTCTGTGGTGGATCTCCAAACAAGCTGTGTAAAATGTACAGTTGGCCAGGAAAAGCCAGGATGGCTGTAATTATAACTATTAATTTCATCAAACCACATGTCTACAGCACCGACTGGATTAGCAGCAGCTCCTGCGTACATGCTTTTACCAATATTGTAGTCGTAATCTGGAGGGTCTTCTGGAATGTCCTTGTATACATCAAATTTGCAAGCCCACCACGCAGCCCGTTTGGCTAAAGCATCAGACCAGGTCAAATTAGGAGTGTCAACAAACATAGATCTGTACTTATTCATTAGGTCCAAAACAGCCGCCTTTTGTTCTGGTGTCAACAAACACTTAGCATCATTAGATGCATTATACGGATTATTAAAAATTATTCTGTCCACTGTTACAATAGGACCCTCACCTTCAATAGTAGCCGGATTCCAATAACCAGAAACTGGTGCAGTATAAGTAGTAACAGCATAAGATACTTGTGCCTTCGATACAGCAGAAAAAGCAGCTAAAAGCAGTGCCGCGCACAATGGTAAGGCACTTGAGACCATTATATTATTTTCAAATATTCAGAATTATTGACTTTTCAGTAAAATATATAGTTTGGTGTGTATATTTTATGGCGTTAGTTTTTTTGGTTATTTGAGGTGATGTACTTAGTTCGGTTATACTGGTAGCATCTAGAAGTATAACGAGATGATGCTCATGCCTGCAAGAAGAGAAGCAAGAAACGAAAGAATATTCAGACATAATCCATAGTAGTTTTATATAAAAATGTGCTCATGACTTACAATAAAAATGATTGTCTAATAGGTTCTGTTTTTTTGACTGAACAAGAATAAGATATAAATAAAGTTTTGCAATAAATCTTCAATAATAAAAGTGTGTAAAGGAGTAGAAACAAAGAATGAAGAAAAAGATCTGTAATCTTCAACAATTGGACTAAAAATCTAAGTAAAACCTAGAAACACAGCATAGTCAATCATTCTGTTATTTCTAATAGGAAAAAAATATCACTGTGTAGTGATTTCTTTAAACGAAAAAGGAAACAGAAAATGTTGAGTCCTCAAAAACATTTCCAAATATAGAATTAAAAATATTGTTTATTGTTTAGACATTTTCACATTGCAGGACAATAGAATTAGTTTTGTCTAGATACTTTACTTTTGAAGAACATAAAAGGGAAAGTTTACAAATTTAAGAATGGACAAATAGTTTTTTTTCCTTTTTGCTGTTGTGTTGGAAACACTCGTCTTTGTATTTGATGCAACGACAAAAAGAATAAAAGTGAAGAAAAAAATTACACAAGTGGGAAAAGAGACAATACAGACAATTCTAACCACACTATAGATATACATGTCTCTTTGTATTCTATTTTTAAATTTTTGCCCCTGAATTATTTTAGAGAATCCCCACTCTTACAGGATCATCGCCCCTGATTAGTTAGTTATTTGGTGTCTATATTTCTTTTATACATATCACAATATTCTATAGTAAATCGATCTATAGAATGTTCAAAATTTATTACTTCATTCACAATAGAATATTAAAATTTTTGGCAGTGACCGTGGGATCGAATAGGAATGTATAATTTAAAAAAGGGGTAAAGAATTTTTATTGCATTGTTACTGTTTATACATAAGTTATATAAAGTTATATACTATAAGAACCATCAACAATTTTTTTTCTTTTTTTAGTTCGTATTGCAAGGATCAGCACCTTATATGACGTTAGCATGTAGTAAAATTGTTCTTTTGTTAACCAAGAATTTATTATTTAAAGTTATTATTGTTCTATTAGAACATCTATTATGATAGAGATCTAAAATATGATTATTCTCCTGGCAGATTTAGATCTCAATTAGACTTTTTAGTGTGATATTCCTATTTCTGCTTTTTTTCTCTTTTTTCCGATCTAGTATAAGAACAATAAAACTTGTAAAATTCAAAATTCCCCATTTAAGTGGAGTGTTTTTTCTTCTTTTCGGATACACAATATCTAAGACATGCAGGAGTACTATTGAACTAGAAAAAATGACGTATACCTTGTGGAATCCTTAAAATCTTTTACAATGTCGTTTAATGATAGATATTTGGTTTAATTTTAAGACAAACAAGAAAAAAGATGATTATTATTATATTTGACCTATTGTTATGATGTTGTTTATTTATACTAGGTCAAAGGATGATAGAAAGTTTGTATCTTTTTAAAGTAGCAAGACTTGATAACAGAGTATTTCTTTTTGTTTTTTGTTTGCCAATTGGTGGTTGAATGAAATGACTATAATAGATAGTATACAATGAACTATTTTTAAGCATGTTTTTTATTTTTAGATTATGGGATTTATTGTTGTCCAAAGCATCTTCTTGTACTAGTATTTAGGAATATTTCTGTTAGTAACTGAAATGAGGTATTTTTATTCCTAAGTTTCGTGATATGTCTAAAAATGACAATTTAAAAACAACCCTAAAGTTCTATGGCTTTTGTAAAGAATTGACTTACAATTTAAAAATAAAACCTAACACAAGTCCTTTGGACAAAAAATAACAACAATCACTCTAGGACGGTTGCTAACTAAAAAAAGAAATAAACTTTGTTGGTTATTTTGCTTGTGGAATTGTACATTCCAACAAATAAATACTATAAATTAGATAAATACTGAAGAATAGCCTTCTTAAAGAAGATAATAACTTGTTTTTTCTACTTACTTACTATATTCATATTAGAAACAGGAAAACATAATTTATTCATCTTGATGTAAGTTCAAGCAGAAAGTTAGTTTCTTTGTCGAGTTGCAAAACTATGTTCAAACCCTCGTTTGCTAGAAGAAGAGTTGAACAATCAAACTTGTTGTGGTTTTTTACCCTAAAAAAGTTAAACAATCAGATAAAAATTTGTCCAAATGTAGACAAAATTTAACCGGTTAGAAATTGGAATTAAGTATTTTTACTTTTGCCAAAAATTTTCTTTGCTTTTGTTACTACAGAATAATTGAAAAGTGAAATGAGGTTTCTGTGGTAATTGGTCTGAATATGCGTTTACATGACAAGAGCATGTTTTTCTGTTTTACTGGAACGCACAAGCAAAAAATTTTTTTATGAAAAAAAGGAAAAAGTTGAGTTAGCTAAACATAAACAATAATAGATGAGAAAAAATTTTCAAAAACGTTGTGTTTGTCTTTTTGTGTACATTTTTTGCCTGTTATAAAGCAAAAAAAAGCAAACCCACCGTTCCATGGTATTTTTTCTATCTTGCTTCTAAAAAGTCTTACAATATCTATAACACTATATTGTACCAGCTATGTCGTGTAGACATGTTAGCTACATGAAGGGAATATTAACACAAATGTGTAGTTTTAATAATCAATTTTTTCTAATACTTCCAATTTTTTTATTTTGATATAGCACCACCAATTTGAATTCACATTACAAGTATAGATGTTACTTTTTTGGAGATATAAAAATTCTTCATTCTGTTTTCCAAAAAATTACAATAATGCCAAGTTGTGTTTTGGTTACTGAAAATTCGTCATGCAGATAGTGTTGATTAGTAAGAATTGCTACTGCATCTTCGTAGTATTTGGATAGAACCGATATATGTATTAAACAAGATTGTGCTAACGTGAGGTGTTTTTAAAATTATAGGAGTGGGGGTTTTCTAAAATAATTCAGGGACAAAAATTTAAAAATAGAACACAAAGAGACATATATATCTATATCGTACTAACATGATAAAAATCGGGCATGAAATAATATTCTGGGTTTTTCTAGCTTTCGTCTTTGTTTAGAGGCAGGGTTTGTAGAAAACGGTTCGGCAACTTCATATCTCAAAAGTAGCAGATGTTGTCAAGATAACTTAATAATGGCCTGTCTTCTTTATCTACTTGCTTTTTCTGTAAGCCTAATTAAATTTTTTCATTCTTAAAATAAAAAGATAGAACAATATTTGTGCGCAGTCACAAGAGAATAGTTAACAGCAGAATTAACATTGTTTATCTTTATATATTCAATACTTCTTATGTAATTCCAACTGAGACGACGTACATAAGATTTAACAATGTTAATTTGATTTTTGGAGTCATTGTAAAAAAAATGAACTTCAGATTTCAAAATATATATACATCATGTTCTAAACGACTATGTTTTGAGTTTTATATCATGTGCAATTTTTCAGCTGTTGTGTTCTTTGCATGGT